TTCCAACTTTTAATATTTCATTTTTCATTTAAATACTTACTCTTCTGTCCCAATTAAAATGTTTATGTTGCGATAGATGAGAATTTAGGTGATTTATAATTAGTAAATAATTAAAAAGTATATTAGTAAAAATAATTATTATATAATAACAATAATTAAATGTTAAGATAAATACGCAGTTTAATTAAGATTGAGGAAATTATGAATTATAAAATTTTTAATGTGATTAAAGTGTATAATCATATTTTTTTTAGGGAAAAAAAATGATACTTTATGTGGAATGAAAAAAAAAAGTACTTTTTATTTGGTTATTGTAAATAAGCATATTTTTTTAAGAAGTAAAAAATTACTCTCTCGGTTGTCCAATTGTATGTTTATTTGACTTGACATAGATTTTAAGAAGAAAAATATGTAAAAATAGAAATTTTTATTTTTTTTGATAAAAAAAATGGTATTTTTGTACTAAAAATAAAAACTAGAATAAATTTGGATAACAAATAAAAATAGATTTTGATGATAACGGAGGAAGTATTATGTCCTTTTTTAATTATTTTCATTTTATTATTATTATACAAAAATAAAAAGTACATCTCAAATTAAAATTTATGTCCAAATATAATGAATTTATTTTTACATTACGAAAGGTGTAATATTTATTGATAATAATTTTTTAAAACAAATATATATATATATCACACTTAATACTCAATTATTTATTATTTTAAAAAAAATAAAATTTAAATATTTATATTCCTTTCATCCTCTTCTAAGGATCACGTTTATATTTTACATTATTTTATTTAATATTAAAAATATTTTTATATTTATATATATATTTTTTTGTACAAATGTCATTTTATTAGTATTATAACATACTAATATAAATATTTTTATAACTATTTTTTAATTTATATTATATTTTAATATAATAATTAATATTCAAATATCAATATGTATAAAAAAATAAATTAGAGCTTTAGAGCCGGAAGAAATTAACATTTAAAGACGTAAATAAAAAATAACAGACGTAAGTAGCAGTGTGTGTTGGGTGTTCCCCATTCCCATGTGATTCCACGTGTTCATCCTGAATTGTGTCTGATGGGACCCACGGGGTGGTTTCCTCGTTGTTGGTCATAATAATTGGAGGTAACTGTTCAATTCATTCTTGAACGTTCCACACACCCACGACACCCAATCAATCTGGACCGTCAATCTTGGCAACCAGGAGCATCGATATCCGTCTGGTGTGGGAGTCCCGGGAGCCCCAAAGAAGGGGACGTAACTGTAATTGTGGCTCAAGTGGTCAACTAATGTATGTGTAGGACACGGACAGATGCGTGTGACTGTGTCCCTCCCCTCCTTGTATCATTTCATAATAAGTTAATGAGATAAATTATTATTTATTTTTTTTATAAAAATATTTATTTTTATCAATATTTATTTTTATTTTTAATTGTGCACATACTAAAAATAATAATAATAAAAATACAATTTTTTTTTTATAATAAAAAATTGATATTTTCTTCGTATCAATTCAAAGTACTAATTTTATTATATTCGTTCATCTTAATTTGAAATATTATTATTATTATTATTTTGTAAAAATTAATGATACATTAATATCAAAACACTCTTAATTTTTTTTTACCTAAATTATAAAAATATCATTACACATAAAATTCATTTATACATAAAATAAAATAACAAAAATATCAACATCTCTTATACACTTTAATTAATTAATAAAATAATATTACTCTGTCCGGTTCTAAGGGTCTCATTTACTTTTTGCGTATTGATATTTGAATATTAATTATTATATCAAAACGTAGTATAAGATTTTAAAAAAAAAATACAAAAATATTTTCATTAGTTTCTTATTATATTAATATAAGGAAATTTTTACAAAAACTTATACAAATATAATAATATTTTTAATGTTAAGTACAATGAAGCAGAATGTAAGTGTGACCTTCGTACCAGATGAAATGAATATTATTTTTTAATCTAGTACAAAATTTCAAAGAATTCATTTGAAATATGAATTATACATAAATTTAAATAATAGAAAATTAATTTTTTTTTTATATATATAAATTATTTTAAAATTAATATTTTTGTGTGTATGTGATGCTTTTCATCATTTCTCCACCTAAATTCTATTCCCAACTGAATTATTCTACTTTAATTATTACACACATATAAGTGTTAGTGGTTTCATTCCGGAATTGAATTGTATGTGTTGATATTTAATTACGCTATTTTTTTATTATTATTTATGTAAGGATTTGTTTGGTTTAGATTTGTGTGAATAGTTTGAATTTATATAATAATAATAATTTAATATTAATATTTATGAAAGAAAATATTCAATTTTTTTATTAGAAATAGACGTTTACTTTTTTTTTTGAAAACAACAAAAATTCGACCCAATCTTTAAAGCAACTATTTTTACTGGCTTAATATATTGAAATTAAAATGCAAAAATAAAATACAAGAGAACACCCCCATAATTTTAATAATTAAATAATTTTTAATTTAATATATACTATAGTTAAAGAGAAAATTATTGTTCATTAATAAAAAAAAAATGTTAATTTAGGTTATTAAACATTATTGAATAAAATGTTTTATTTTGAAAGTGTTTATTATTTGGACATAATAAAGATATAAATATTAACAAAAATAATTATTTTATACAATCTTTTCAATAAAAAAATAAATATTGATTGTGATATTTTTGTGTAAAGATGAAACTTTACATTAGTAATACTCCCTCTGACCCGGAACTAAGTATCCATTTGTTTTTTTCACGTAGTTTTAGAAATATTTATTATTATACTGGGATATAGTAGGAATAAAGTAGAAATGACTAAAATAACCTTATTAGTATGTGTGATATAAAGGTAATGACATTTGTGTAATATATTGTAAGTTGCAAGGATATTTGTAATGTTAGGTACATAGCACAGTTACTAAAAAAAAGAAATGAATACTTTGTTATGGGACGGACTAAAATGGAAAAATAGATAGAGGGAAATTAAATTGAAAAGGTTATTTGGTTTGTACTATTTTAAATCAAATTTTTTATTTCAAAAAGATAAATCACAGGCTTCAATAAAATGATACCCGTCTTATCTTTTTAGTCAACTATTTCTATTTGTCTTTCGTACCTTATTTATTCTTTTTTTTTTTATGAAATATAATTATACATTTCAATCATATTTTAAATTTTATAATTTTTAATTTTTTTAAATTTTTTTTAATTATATTGTTTAGTAATCTTAATCTATAATTAATTTAATTATACAATAATTATTTTTATTGATACACTTCTTAATTACTAATTAATTATTATAATTTACCTAAATTCTCATAGTTATAATAAACTGGACATAAAATTGGGACGGAGGAAGTAATATTTATACCAAAATCTAAATAAAACATTACCAAAGTTGTCATTGGTTTCATCCAATATAGTTCGTATTATGTCTTAATCAGTTTTCATTCTCTTTCTTTTTTTTTACTGAATTTTCCTACTCTCTCCGTCATTCAATTGTGTGCTCATTTGATCAGACACGAATTTTAAGAAAAATATATAAAAATAGAAATTTTTACTTTTTTTTTTGGTAAAATGATAATAAATTTAGATGACAACAAAAAAAAAGTGAAAATAGATTTGAATAAGAAAGCAGTTAGTTTTGAAATTTATCTCTATCATTTTAAAATAGTAATCACTATTTTAATCCTCAGTTAAATAGTAATCAATATTATTATTGTTTAACCCAGTAATTGCACAAATCGCAACTTAATAATTATTATAGGATATATTTTACGAAGATTTGAATAAATTACCAAATATAATCATTTGATAATATTAAAAATTAACCAATAAATCATTTGTTAAAATATAACAACAGCACATTTAAAATGGTAATAATTTTATAGGTAAACTTGCTTATAATAATATATCTGTGATTTTAAAAGTTTTTATTATTCACTTTATAAATTAAAATAGTGTACAAAATCTCCAAAAATTTTAGAATAACGAAGAATAATGTATATGATGTTGCGAAAATCAAAAATTAAAAAACAATTAGGAAAGCACATCAAAATATAAAGATTTTTTTGACTCAATTTGATTAAGATGATCTATGTCTATGTCTGAGCATTCATTCCAAATATTTTTTCTTTTAAATACAAAGAAAATAAACAAAGTATATATAAAAATATAAGTCAAAACTCTAATAAACGATCGTTGCCCCTTGTGACCCTAACAAAGTCATATTTTAGTTCAATCGCTATTTTTCTGACTTCAATTTTAACTTCTAAATACATTATAGGATGTATCATTTTATTTACTCCGTCCTATAACAAAGTATTTATTTTTTTATTTTAGTCCGTCCCATAACAAAGTATCCATTTCTTTTTTTAGTAAATGTACTATCTACCTAACATTACAAATACCCTTACAACTTACAATATATTACACAAATGTCATTACCTTTATATCACATATATTAACAAAGTTATTTTAGTCATTTATACTTTATTCCTACTATATCCTAATATAATACTAATATTTCTAAAACTATGTGCAAAAAACAAATGGATACTTCTTTTTGGGACGGAGGAAGTGTTATATTTTTTCAAATTTTCATTATTTATTAATTTTTTTTAAAAAAAAATATTAAATTAAATATTTATATTTTATTTTTATATTATATTAAAAATTAATTATATATTAAAAAAAATTACTTATTTATATCAGATAACACTATTATTCAAATTCAAAATTTTTAACATTTAAATCTCATATCAAAATCGAAATCCCTAATCAAACACACCCAACATAACTTTCAAAATCACGGTAGTTTAATTACGAGCAATTATGCCTTATTATATATTTATATATATATACATGCATACCCTACCCTACCCCACACCCACCCACCCACCCAGCAAAATGAAATTGATAAATTGTCTCCCACCACGCACATAACCAAACCCTTTTCATTCTCACACAATTAATCACTCCGATCCATCAATCAAAATTCCCTCCGATCGATCGATCTTGAATCAACAGTCATAGATGGGATTTGACGACGACGATTTCTGCCACACAGGTCTCGCCTTAGGATTAGGGCTTTCATCGCCGCCGCCGCCGCCGTCCCTCCTCGGACACAAATCACCCAAACAGCACCACCAGTCCTCCGACGTCGGCAAGCCATCCCAGCCGTCCCTTACCCTCGCCCTCTCCGCCGAATCCTTCGATCTGAGCCGTCCATTCAAAAAGGCTCATCAGATCATCGCCGGCGCCCAATCCGACCAACTGTACGGCGCCGGACAAGACCACAGCGCCGCCTCCTCGTTCTCCAACAACGTTAGCGTCAAGAGAGAGAGAGAGATAGAGAGAGAGAGAGACACCGGCAGCGACGAAGACGACGACGGATCCAACGCTCGCAAAAAGCTTCGACTCACAAAGGCTCAGTCTGCTCTCCTCGAGGATTGCTTCAAAAACCACAGCACTCTCAATCCTGTAATTAATCAATTAATTAAATCAAAAAAACTTTTCTTACATCTATTGATTCGTATCGATTCATTACTGATTATATTGTTTTTGTTATTTTTTAATCAGAAACAAAAGCAGGACTTGGCAAGAGAGCTGAAGCTCAGGCCACGTCAGGTTGAAGTGTGGTTTCAGAACAGAAGAGCCAGGTGAATAATATGCAATTTATATATATATATATATATATATAAAAGAATATTCCGAAATTAATTCTTTTTCGAGATTCTGGGTTCGCATTATCTTATCCAAAATGGATTCATTTCTATTTTTTTTATATATTAAAATCAAATTCAATCGTTGCGAACACGTTTCCACCTACAGATTTATTTATTTAAAAAAATTTTACAGTGGGAATTAGTTGAACAGTCAGTTTTCTTGATATTGTTATACATCTAAAGTATTGACAGTTGGTATTATTGGTGGACAGGACTAAACTGAAACAAACGGAGTTAGACTGCGAGTACTTAAAAAAATGCTGCGAGACTCTAACGGACGAGAACCGCCGTTTGCAGAGAGAGCTGCAGGAGCTGAGGGCGCTGAAGTTAGCCAAGCCGCTCTACATGCAGCTCCCGGCGCCGACTCTCTCCATGTGCCCGTCGTGCGAACGGCTCGGCGCCGCCAACGACGGCGCGGCTAAGAGCTCAGCTTTTACGATGGCTCCCAAGCCGCACTTCTACAATCCCTTCGCCAAGCCGTCGGCGGCGTGTTAATTAATTTAGGAAAAAAAATATATATATATTTATTTAAAATATAAACACACATAATAGATATAAAAAATATATGTGAATTATTACAGTGTCTATTATGAGCTGTCGCGGGCCCCACAACCGTGTTTTTATTCGGTTAAGGGGGAAACGTATATGAGTGCAAGAAATTGATTAACTAGGGGAGATTTTATTTAATTAGGTTATTACTAATTAATTATGTGTTCTTTTTTATTTTATTTTATTTTTTTGAGGGGTTTTGATGAGATGGGTGTAAATTGTTACTTGTGGATTATATATAGTGAAGAAAGTATTGTTTATTTGTTTTTATGTACACGTACGTACTTGTATTTTAGCAATTTCAATACATATATATATTTTTATTTTGTTTGTCGGTATTTGTAATTATGAAAGCGTGTTTTCCAAATGGTACAGTTAGTGAGAGTAGCGATTTATTCGTGAAATCCATTATAATTTGGAAGAATCGTGTTGATTAAGGAAGGAATTGGAGAAATTTCGTAGGGTTTCAACCGTAGAAAGTATGAGGACAAAAGGGATGGGATGGAATGGGAGGGAGTAAAGGGACGTGCGAGATTGGCCTTACTTTTTGGGGACCAGTGGATCACGCCCCCACGTGACGTCCGCGTGTCTCCCTTCTTACAACCTTAGATTGTACTCACGTCGTCCCATGTAACATAGGCTCATAGAATTAAGGTAAAATATAATTATTAATTAATTAAAAATATATTAGTAAAAAATAATTATTGTATAGTAAAAATAATTATAAATTAGGATTTAGATAATTAAATATTACGTTCGTCTCATATAATTTGTTTTTATTTTTTATTTTTGTCTATTCCACATAATGTTTTATTTTTTTTAAAAAAAAATTGATTATACACTATTACACTTTAATTATATTTTAAAATTAATTTAATTTTTTTTTAATTTTAATTAAACAATTTAATTATTTTAAATTTAATTTATAATTATTTTTACTATATAATACTCCCTCCGTCCCAGATATCATGTCCACGTTGCCGTTTCTGTTCATTTTTCTTTTTTGGAAAATGATTACACACTTTAATCTCATTTTAAATTTTTAAATTTTATTTTTTTAATTTTAATTAAGCTAATTATTTATCTTAATCTTAATTTATAATTATTTATATTATATGATAATTATTTTCACTAATACATTCTTAATTATCTACTAATTACACCCCTCCTAAAATACCGTATTTACAGTGTAGCAGACACGATATCTGGGACGGAGGGAGTAATTATTTTTACTAATACATTTCTTAATTATTTACTAATTATAATTTAGATAAATTCTCGTATTTACGGTAATAGGCTCATATTATCTATGATTGAGAGAGTAGTTTAATTAAAATTAAAAAAATTATAAAATTTAAAATTTTAAAATATAATTAAAATATATAATTATATTTTTAAAAAAAATTACAAATTATGCCGAAATGGCCAAAAATAAAAAATAATTAATAATTATGTGAGACAAATAGTGTATAATTACGTTAGATCCCATCTATCTTATCTATCTATCTATCTTATCCACCAAACCAATTATACATCAACATGATTTTAAACAGGTTGAGGACACAGGAGGAAGGTTGGGTCCCACACATATTATTACATCAATCATATCTACGCAATTACTACCTTACATTGTAGTTTTCGAATATTCTTTTATACTCCCTTCGACATTGAAGGGTGGATTTCTTTTCTGTAATTTCAAAGTTAAATTTAAATTATTTATTTTATTTTATAAAATATTAAATTAAAATAATATTTTAAAAAAATTAAATCCAATATTTTATTTAAAAATATTACTCTCTCTGTTCCATATACGGTGTCTGTTACACTGTAGACATGGTATTTTAGTAGAGGTATAATTAGTAGATAATTAAAAATGTATTAGTAAAAATAATTATCCTATAATATAAATAATTATAAATTAAGATTAAGATAACTAATTAGTCTAATTAAAATTTTAAAAAAAATAAATTAAAAAGTTTAAAAAAATGAGATTAAAGTGTGTAATCATTTTTCAAAAAAATGAAAATGACATGGAATGCGGGACAGACAGAAACGGCAACGTGGACATGGTATCTGGGACGGAGAGAGTATTATTAATAAAAAAAATTAAATATGTATACTCATATAATGTACTCGTATATAATATATATTGTATTAGCTTATAAATAATTATTTTTTATATTACCATTTTTTTATACCTAATATAAAAATATATTAAATTAGAAATACTAAATAAATACAAATTTATATTCGTTTTTCTTTTTTTTTTCTATCATAAAAAATATTTTTATATATATATTTTTAAATTTTAATTTTGATTGTTTTAAATAATAGTTGAATATATAAACTCGATAAAATCGCATAGTAAATTAATTGAATAAAAGAAACTGAAAAAATTAATTATCTTTGTTGGTAGTATATAATGTAACTAGCATTACAAAGTGTTACTCCATCCGTTCTATTTAATTTGGACATATTACTTTACACTAAGAAATATATTAATAAAAATAATTATAAATTAAAATTAAAAAAATATAAAATATAACTTTTCAAACGTAATTAAAGTGTATAAATTATGTGAGACAGACAAAAATAAAAAATAGAAATAAATTATATGAGACGAATGTAGTAATACATAATATAAATATAGTAATAAATAAATTAACAATATATTACAATAATTTATATAATACAAAATACAATTAATTTCATTATACAAGATATCTGAAATTTGTCTGTCATTTAAATTTATTTTTACTTTTTTTTTTTTATGTCATCTAAGTTTATTCTTTTTTTTTTCAGTAAAAAAAATATAAGTTTTTCTAGTTTCTTTTTACTCTAAAAAAGAAAAAGATTATATTATTATCTATTTTTTTTAAAATATTTTTATAAATACTTATTGTGATCTAACGTTATACGTGCCGTATTTTTTAAACTTAATAAGACTATTGCATTAGTTACAACAATATTAATTGTTTTTTTAGTCCTATAACTGGATCTCATTATCATTTTAGTCCTGTAAGTGGAGTCTGTCGCAAACTAGTCCCATAAGTAAAAAAATTTCGCTATTTTAGTCCTTCGACGCCGGAGACGCCCGCGTGGCTCGCCGGACGTGACGTGTCCGCCAGGTCAACGACACCTGGCGGACACGTGGATTTATTATTTTTTCTTTTATTTTTTAATTTTTCTAATTTTTTTAATTAGACCAAATAAAAAAATAAAAAAAATACAAATAAAATTAAAAATAAATTAAAAATAAGTTTTAAAAAAAATTAAAAAAAAATAAAAAATAAAAAAATCCACGTGTCCGCCACGTCATCGACACCTGGAGGACATGTCACCTTCGGCGAGCCACGCGGGCATCTCCGGCACTGGAGGACTAAAACAACGAAAATTTTTCACTTATGGGACTAGTTTGCGACAGATTCCACTTACGAGACTAAAATGATAAGAGGGTCCAATTACGGAACTAAAAAAACAGTTTACCCTATTTTTTTTATTCCTTTTGAAAATTTTAAAACTTAAAATATCTCAAAATATTTTTGTCCAAACAAACTGTAATCTTATGTGTTCGTAAATAGAGTGCACATTTTTGCTATGTTATATATATATATATATATATATTTATTTTATCTTAATGTATTTATTTTTTTATCATTTTGGTTTGCTATATTCAAAGGTATTTATTTTTCATTATAATAACTACTCCATTCGTCCTATGTACCTTGTCTGCTACACTTTGTCTGCTACACTATAAATACGGTATTTTAGAAGGAGTGTAACTAGTAGATAATTAAGAATGTATTAGTGAAAATAATTATCCAATAATATAAATAATTATAAATTAAGATTAATACTAATTAGTTTAATTAAAATTTTAAAAAAATAAAATTAAAAAGTTTAAAATAAGATTAAAGTGTGTGATCATTTTTCAAAAAAGGAAAGTGACATGGTATGTGGGACGGACAGAAACGGTAACATGGACATGGTATATGGGACGCAGGGAGTATAATATATATTAAAATATTTTGGTTGTATTTTTTTTTGTGGATTTTACCATAAATTTTTACTATTTAAATTCTTTTTTCTCTTAAAAAATATTACATCAAACAATTTTTTTTTATATTATACTATAAATTTATTTTATATTCAAAACATCACATCAATTTTTATTTATATCACATTAAACAACTATTCAAATTCAACTTTTTACTATAAAAAAAAAAATCAAAACTCAAAAATTAAAACCCACAAACAAACATGCCCTTATATTTTTATAAAGATATTTATTTTTTGCACTTGCGAAAATAAAAATATTAAATGAGATGTGACGGATGTTTTTTTATAATTCAAATCTCAAATTTTTAATATTTGAATTCTATGTTTTTTCGAAAAGAATTACTCTCTCCGTCTAATTGAAAGGTTATCATTTTTCATTTTCATCCGTCCTAAAATAAAGGTTACCATTTTCTTAATTTAGTAATTGTACTACCTACTTAACATAATAAATACTATTTCAACTGACAATATATTACACAAATGTCATTACTTTTATATTACACCATACTGATAGGAGTATTTTTGTCATTTTTACTACAATCCAATATAATATTAATATTCAAAAATCTACGTGCAAAAAGCAAACGCCACCTTTCCAACTAAACAAAATGAGTATAATTTTTTTCTCTAATAAAACGTGTCATGATACATAATTTTAATTGGGGTAAACTGTTTTTTTAGTCCTGTAACTGGACCTCTTTATCATTTTAGTCCTGTAAGTGGAGCCTGTCGCAAACTAGTCCCATAAGTGAAAAATTTTTGCTGTTTTAGTCCTCCGGCGCCGGAGACGCTCGCGTGGTTCGCCGGAGGTGACGTGTCCGCCAGGTGTCCCGCCAGGTCAGCGACACCTGGCGGACACGTGGATTTATTTTATTTTTTCATTTTTTTTAAATTTTTTTTTATTTTTTTATAATTGTAACAAATAAAAAAATAAAAAATTACAAATAAAATTTAAAATAAATTAAAAATAAGTTTTAAAAAAAATTAAAATAATAAAAAAATAAAAAAAAATCCACGTGTCCGCCAGGTCAGCGACACCTGGCCGACATGTCACCTCCGGCGAGCCATGCGGACATCTCCGGCGCTAGAGGACTAAAACAACGAAATTTTTTTACTTATGGAACAAATTTGCGACATGCTCCACTTACGGGACTAAAATGATAAGGAGGTCCACTTACGGGACAAAAAAAATAGTTTACCTTTTTAATTTAATAT